ACTTAGCCTCCCCACCCAAATTCTAACTGCCTCAGGGAGCATCCAAACGGGGAGGGAGCTCAGAACACACCCAGTTCCAACCTCTCCCCACTTTTCACATGGGAAATGGACATCCCCAAGGTTAGACCAGAGTTCAGCTGTAGGGACTCACATCCAGTAGGGTTTTCACAACATCGTTTGCCTTCAGGACCGGAGATCTGCTTGGACACCGAGGGTGGGCGTGGATGACTTGGAGATAGGTTCCATTTTGGATTCAGTGATTCATGCAGCAGTTTCTTCCGCTGATATTCCTGCTGTATGTAGAGGCCAAGGCCTGTGAGTGGCCAGGAGAGAATGAACGAGCCCTGGCCCGTGTCATCCTCTGTCCCTCTCTCCTAATTAATCTTCATAACAACCCTATGAATAGGATCTCATCACTCTGTTTTCAAATGAGGAAACTGAGCCTCAGAAACCGTGCCTAAGTACAACCACTAAGTGTCACTGAAGCTGGAACATGAGCTCAGGTTAGCTGAGTCTGACCAGGGATAGGCATGGAGGTGAGCACGTGCCCAGGTGGTTTGTTGTGGGTACAGTGAATCTTGACCAGGTCAAGAAGGACCTTGAATACATCCTCCCCCAGCCCAAGGAGCTTGGACTTGATCGTGGAGATGCTGGGGAGCCAAGAATGGGTTTGGGCAGGCAAGCGTGGCCTGGCCTGATATGCTCGGGGCGGACTGGTGTGAGAGCCTGGAGGCTGGGGGAGCAGCCAGGGATGTGTAGCCAGAGGCGGCAAAGCTCAGAGTGGGCAGGGAACGTGGGGCTCAAAGGTAGACAAGATAGACAAGAGTTCAAGTCTGTTGGGAGGAGCAGGAGCATTGGGAGCTCTGGGCATCGAAGAGGGATTGAGAGGAAAGGGAAAAGGAGAGGTAAGTTCAGTTTGCCCTGTTAAGATTTCCAGCATTCTTGGGTCAGAGAAGAGAGGAGAGAGCAGTACCAGGGCACAGAGAAGGGGAGAGGGCCTTGAGCACCTGGGATGTGCCAGTACCATGCCGGGCCCTTTTATAGGTACTGTCTCATTTAATCCTCATCACAACCTCGTGAGTGGCTCTTATGCCCATGTGACAGATGAGGCTCTGAGAGGTGGGCCCTGAGAAGGGAAAGAAGTGCAGCTGGGATCGGAACCCAGACTTTTCTGATGCCAGAGTTCATGCAGTCTTCACTGGGCTGCACTGATCTGGGAGGGGGCCGCGAAGAGTCCCTGAACTCAAGGGGAGATGGCTTCCCGAGGCAGCTCTGCCCTCTGGGCTAGGCGAAGGCTGGCCTCTCAAGAGGGGAGGTCTGGCTCTCTGTCCTCCCCACAGCTGCTGTCCCAGTCCTGGCCTCTCCAAAGCTATGGGAGCCCCAGAGCCTCTTGGCTGACATATTTGCATGCTTGTGTGCTCAGACACAGGTCTCCGTTGGTCTCTGGACGAGGGAGTGGAGGGTTGTACTTCTGGCCTCTGCAAGTGCATCCTCCCCTTCCCCAACTTTGATGGGCCCCTGCAGAGGCTCGCTCCCCAGGTTGACCTTCAAGGCCTTCTCCAACCCCCCACCCTCACCTGAGCCGGCCCCATGGCCCTGTGACTCCACCCCCCTGCCACAGACTTGGCTTCAGCCATTCCTTACTGCCCCCAACTTCCTGCGCTCGCTCGCCAGGTGTGCTCCTGCCGGACTAGTTCTCTCCACCGAAATGCTCGGGCCCCACCCTGGAGGCTTGAAGGAACCCTGCCCACCTCTTTCCCTGATCCTTCCATTAAAAATAAACTCTCCCCTGGAAGATCCCCAGATCTGAGTCCCTACTTCACATATAATTGCAATTACTATGATGATAATGACAACAGCTAAGAGCGACAGAGCACATCCTGGGCATCGTGTCAAGTTGTGAATTAAGTCATCTAATCCTCACAACCCATGGAGCCTGCACTGTTATTAGCTGTACTTCACAGATTTGGAAACTGAGGTGGGGGGAAGGTGTCACAAATACAGTCGGATGGTGGCAGCCAGCTGGATTGGTTCCTAGATGGTCCCACCATGTTCTGTTCTCCGATGGGGTCTTCCTCACTTCAACATTTCTGCCTCCCCAACTGACTGCAGGCTCCTCAAGGGCAAGGACCGTGTCTAGAGCCCGCAGAGTGGCCGACCCAAAGCCTGACCAGGGGTGACCAGACATGATGCTGTATTGAACTGAATGGGAGACAGAACAGCCAAGGGCTTCCGGCATGTATTTGGAGTCACTCCAAGCCCCTTATGAGCTGTGTGACCTTAGGCCAGCAGCATGACCTCTCTGAGCCTCTGTTTCTCCCTCTGGGAGATGGAGGTGACAAGGCACTAACCTCATGAGCTTGTGAGAATTAGATTACATGACGCCTGTGAAATTCAAACCCATATCACGCCACCTCCAGCCCTTTTGCTCCTGAGCTCTGGCATTGCCAACATCCTTCCCCCCAGTTAGCTCTGTCACTTAGGAGTTTATCAATAGCTTCGTGTTTCCTGTCTGACCTCTGCTAGGAGTAAATTACCAGGTTGGTTCTCCTATATCAATCCATGTGGCTGTGGGCCACTCAGTCCCTTTCCTTGGACCTTAAGTTCCTGTTTTAGAAATCCAAGGGGTTGGACCAAATGGCCCCAGATCTCCTTCCTGCTCTGGCTGCCTGAGGAGGCAGGGAGAGGCCTGGACACAGCAAGGGGTGAGGACATGGAGAAATGACTCAGAAGCCTCATGTGGGACATGGTGACCACTCGCCCTCCTGAGCGCTCGGTGTATGCCAAGCTCTGCCCTGTGAGGCTAAACACTTCTTACTATTATCTCACTTCATCCTCCCAACTCTAGGAGGTATTGTTATCCCCATTTCACAGAGGAGGGACTGGGGCAATAAGAAGTTGGGGTACACGCCCAAGGTCACACAGCTCACGTGTGGCAGAGCCAGCCTCCTATCCAGGTCTGATCCCAGGCCTGAAAGGAGACAAGGGAAGTGGGGGTGGGGGGAAGGGACAAAGTTCAGGCTGCCTCCTCGTCCTGCCCTGTGAGTTCCAGGATTTGGTTTTCCTAAGTTAGCTGTTCCCTCAGGCTGTGTAGCCCTCCTGGGGCCAGCCACCTGCTTGGGGGCACTCTCTCTCCTCACACCCTTTCAGAGGTGAGCTCAGACTTGCACAGCCTCTTCCCTGGACAGGTTCATACCAATGTGGCTCTGTGCCTGGCCCTGTCCTAGGTACTGAGAGTGTGAAAATCTATCAGATACAGCCCCTACCCTGGAGAGCCCACACTCTTGTGGGGGAGATTGACAGGTAACTTTGTAATTAATATGCCACGTGTGCCATAATGGCGTGAGCGAGGGAGTGTCTGAGGACAGTGTGGACAGCTTGAGATGGCTTCTCAGTGGACGTGACATTTACTCTAGGTCTTAAGAGATGAGTATGAGTCTAGTAAGTGAAGAAAAATGTGGGTGAGCATTCCAGGCAGAGGGAACAACAGGTGCAAAGGCCCGGAGGACAGCATGCATGGTGCTTAGTGCATCTAGAGCAGCACTGTCCAATAGGATTTTCTAGAATAATGGAAGTGTTATGCATCTGTGCTGTTTGGTGCAGAAGCCACTAGGTACATGTGGCTTTTGAGCACTTGACATGTGCATTCCAGTGCAACTGGTACAACTGAGGAACATAATTTTTAATTGTATTTAATTTTTATTTCATTTTAATTTAAATAGATACATGTGGCTAGTGGCTCCCATACTCACAGTGCAGGTCTAGACCAAGAGATGAGGCTGGAAGAGAAATTTGGGGCCGTGGTGACAGGCCTTGAAAACCTTGTTCCGATTTTGTGCCATTCTTCCCAGACAGGGCAGAAATCTCACAGGAGGCATCGGGGGAGAAACATGGGCACATCTGCCCTTTACAACAGTCACTCCAGCTGCTCTGGGGGCAGCACTTGGAGAGTGCAAGGGTAGCGAGGAGCCTGGGGCCACAGCCCAGGAGCCTGGAGTGGGGACGGGGGGGGGGCGGGGCGGGTGATGGCAGAGGTATAGAGAGGAGAGAACAAATTTCAGGGCAAACTGAAGACTGGATTGGTGGGTGAACAGAGTCAAGGATGATGCCCAGATTTCTGGTCTCGCTGCCTGTGGGGGGTGGGGTGCCCTTTGCTGAGGTGGGGAACATGGGAGGGACAGTAGGTTGGGAGTCCCCTAATACTGTACTTCCCATATGCACTGTGATGTTAATGTCTGTGTCACTGTCTTCCCCCCAACTCATCAGCACCCCTCCTGAGGCATCATGGGTTGGGGCTTGTCCCTTATCACTCTCCCTGTGGCTGACAGTACCTTGTGGAGCCCAATGCGATTGCTGCTGGAGTCCAACAGGAAGGGACAGGCCTGCTGTCCCCATTCCCTGACCACGAAAGCTGGAAGGAATTTGTCCAGTCCCTCAGGTGCCCTGAGCAATGTTCAAAACACAGCCTGCAGGGTGGTTTTCTCAGAGACTCTGAAGAGTGGCCTGGGTGGCTGGGTCCTTTGTGGACCCACACGGACCACCAGTGGGGAGGATTGCTGCACTTGACCCACCTCCTCCAACGTTTGTCTCTGCCCGACTCTGTCCCGAGCTGGACGGGCCCCAGGCCGTTGGGGGGCCTGAGGAGCAGTTACTCTGCACTCTTGAGGGAGTGAGATCCATCTACTCCAACCACTCAGATGCACAGGAATCCGTTAGGAATGACGTTCAGCTATCAGTCATCCAGATCTGACTAAAAGGAGCTGAAGTTAGATGGGGGTGTATTTCTCCTCCATGTAAAAAATAAGTCTAAAGGAAAGGACCCCAGGCAGTGTTGTGCTGGAGCCAGTTTGCGCCGGTTCCTGAGAGCTGACTGTGCAAACCTTCGCAGCTCCCTGTGACCTCCCATTGATAGCTTGAAACCGGCTTTGGTGGGAGTGTTTACATCACAGAAACTGGCAAACCCTGTAAATTGGGGCTTTCTTCCTCCCCCCACCCCCCAGAGGGAGCTGAAGGAGCAGCTTCAGGCCCTTCAGGACAGCGAGCGGGAGCACACAGAGGCACTGCAGCTGCTCAAGCGACAGCTGGCGGAGACTAAGGTGAGCCGGACCTGGGCCAGGAGGTGGAGCCGGCTGGATGGGTCGGGGCTTTATGGGGTGGGGCTTTATGGGGCGGAGCCAGAAGGGACTGAGAGGGGCAGAGACTCGGGCCTGCTGTGGGGGCGGGGCTTCGAGAGGCCCAACTCCGAGTGGAAGGGCGGGGGCTGTGGGGGTGAAACCAAGGCTGACGTTTCAGCAAGGATAAGTGGCGTGGGACTCACTCCAGGGTGACTAAGGGCAAGGATTGGCGTTAGTAGGACCAGGGACCCTTGCTCCCTTCAGGGGTCTTTTTTCTTCTTGCATTATTAAACACATCATCCCTTGAAGCTCAGGCCATGGGATCATGGACTCTGAAAAATAGGGTCAAATCCTGCAATCTCTGGCTACAAGGGTTTAAAAAGAAAAGGCTTTTTTTTTTCTTCTTGACCTAAGGGGAGGGTTGCGATTTCTGACGCAGACACTAACTCGCTGTATGACTTGGAGTAAACTGCATACTTTTTTGGGCCCCGGAGCTGCTACCGGTACTGTGGGGACTCAGCCGGGCTCCTCGCAGCTCACTTCTGGATCCCAGCACACTTCCCAGGAGCTCCCTCTAAGTTCTCCTCACAGATAGCTCATTAACCGGACAAGGCTTGCTTTGATTTCTGCCCCGTCTTTCTGGGACCAAGAACTGGGGACCCAGGCGCAGCTGCTAAGCTCTCGGGTGATTTCATTCTGGCTCCACTTCATTAGCAGGAGTGCCATCGCCAGCAGCAGCTGGAGCGGGACATGAGGAAAGCTCTGGGCTTAGGGAGTTCACACTGGGGCAGCGAGAAGCCATTGGAGATCCAGACCTGTGCCCCAGCTTGGCAACCTGCTGTGGGGTCTCAAGCATTTCTTCAGAGAACATTCCAGAGGGCCTCTGGGCAGGACCCTTTACAGGCAACAGATGAGAAGCCTATTTACTTCTCACAGCCTCAGTTTCCCCATCTACCTGGTGATTCTATACCTTTCACATAAAGAGAAGCAAATGGAAGCCTCTGTCTGGATGAGAGGGGAATATTATGGTCTGTTTCTTCTCCCCAGCATTCTCTTCCTTTCTCCATTCATGCCCCCCCCCCATTGTTTTTCTCCACTGACCTCTTCCTTCTCTGATTTCCTGTCCATCTGTCTACCTCTGGGGGGTCCTGTGGGGCCACCTTCCCCTCCAGCTCCCCAGCCCTGCTTCCTGTCTGGACCAGGGTGTTTATACAAGACATGCCTATGGATGCTTTGGAGGTCATATTTCACCTGGTGCCTGACTCGGCTTTCCTGTGGCGCCTGCTCCTCCAGTGGCCCAGCCCGAGGGTCTGTCTGACCTCCCCAGGCCCAATGTTTTCCTTGGTCGGCTCTGACTGAGTGATGCATTCTTGGCAGGGTGTTTTCCTGAAATGGCCCCGGCTCCTCCAAGCCCCAGCATGATCCCAGGGACGTGGTGGGCTGGGGTGGGGGCTTCTTGCCCAGCTACAGCACCAAAGGGATTGGGGGGTGAGACGGGGGTGGCTCTGCCATAGAAAGAACTGAAGTAACCAGGACACACCAGTTAAGCTAAGCCTTTTTTTGCTAGAAACTGTTTCCTGTTCATTGTCTCGCTGAGCCCCACAGCCTGTCACCTCCATGGCAGCAGGACTCCCCAGCCCTAGCTCAGTGCTCCCTGTACAGTAAATAGTTGTAGAACAAATCAGTGGGGCCGGCGGGGGCACCTTTTGAGGTAGAAACTATTACTGCCATTTTATCAGCAAGGAAACTGAGACACAGGGAGGTCGACCCGCTGGCCTGAGGCCCCAGAGCTAGTAAGCGGCCAACTGAGAGCTGATTTTCCAATTCTGTCAGAACCTCGTGCATATTTCAGCCTCATGCTGGCGTGTCCTCAGTAAGATCTCTGGCTTTGTGGCCAGCAAACCAGGTAGGTCAGGGAACATGCTTGGGTCGCCTGGGGTGGCTGTCACTCAGACGTTCTACTTCTGCACTGCCTCGCCCACTTTCCCTACCTGTCTTCTCTTGTCCTGGGGAACACTGGGCTCCTACCCTAGAAATAAGATAAATTTTGCACCCACCTTGGCGGAGTCATCTTGAGCAAGATCCTTCCTTCCTTCACCTCTCAGGCAGGCTCTGACTGCCACCAGCCTTGTGTCCGGCCCTGGGATGGACAGGAGAGTGAGGGGGGTTGGGGGGCAGAGCTGAGGAAGGCATCATTGCCATGGGATGGGGGGGGGGTGACCCACTAGCTGGGAGTCACATGAACTGTGGGACAGTGTATTAAGTATTTATAAAATGCTCTGGGAATGCTTCACTGCTTGAAAAAGTAAAGGAAGGTGTCACAGCAATGGCATTAGAGAGGTAAACTAAGATTAATTGAGGACTTTGAATGCCAGGCTAAGGAATTTAGAGTTTAACTAGTCATCAAGGAGCCAAGAAAGGCTCCTAAACACAGAATTGGCTGTGACCCAGTTTACGCATTAAAAAGATCACTCCGGCAGTGAGATTGTTGGCCAAGACACAGAGTTGACTTTGGACCGAGTGAGGTGGAGGGCCTGTGGGATCCCAGGGATATGTGTGGAAGAGGCAGGTAGAAGGATGAATGCGGTGCTCAGGAGAGACGCAAGGCTGATGATAAGGACGTGGGAGCCGTCCTCAAAGCAGGGAGAGCCAGAGTTGAGGGAGGACACGAAGGATGAGATTGGGAAGAGCTGGCCTGGACATGCCGTAAGAAACATGGGTGGCAGAGAGGGAGCAGCCACAGAGGTGGGAGGCAAACCAGAACTTTCAGTTAGTAGAAAGGGGCCAGTGGGCCAGACGCTGCTGCAGAGCAGTTGAGAAGGAAGTAGAAGGGGTGGCTGTGGGATTTGGGGACCTTAGGAGGGCGGCGGCAGACGGTGCAGGAGGGGCAGGCCCCATCTTCTCTATCTGCGACCTGCCACTGCAGAAGCCTCTACCCTCTCTGGGTGAGGGGTTCAGGAAGGCCACAGGCGGCCCAGCTGTTCCTCCCCAGCCCCCCCCCCACCCCCCGCCCCGCTCCGCCACCCCTTTGTCTGCCTGGCGCTCTGGGTGGGCATGCGCAGGGAGGCTGGCCCACTGCCAGCAGTTCTTCCTGCCGGCCGGCAGCCCAGACGGGGAGGGAACTGGCCCTAATTGAGCCTTTGTCAAGCCTCCCACAGAGCCCTGGGCACTGCACACCGCAGGATTCCTGACTCTGTGAACTCCCAGCCAGAATCCCACAAAGTAAAATTGCAGAGGCAGGCCCCACACACTGCTGCAGCCGGGCCGCACTTCTGTGCCCTGTGTGTGTCATCCTGCCTCGTGCTGTTCCCTCTTCCTGTTTCCCTCCCCAGCAATTGACATCCCGCCCATCCTTCAGGCTGCACTTCTCAGTGAAGACTTCTAGGATGTGTTAGAACTGATGCGTCGTTAATAACCAGGCTCTTTCTCTGTACCTCAAACAATGCCATGCATTGTGTGAACATTCCCTCATTTAATTTGCACACATAGCCCTGCAATGTAGTGGCGATACCCCTTCCACAGATAAGAAAACTAAGGTTCACAGATAGTAGGCAACTGAGGTCGCCACGCTAAAGAGCCAGAGGTAGGATTCTTACCCAGACCGTGGAGCACAAAAGCCTGTACGCTTCACCCCTCTTCCTTGGCCAGCAGGTCTCAGGGCTGGTGGGACAGACAGGGTGAGTGACCACCAAGGTTTGCCCAGTATATTGCCATTTATAAAGCTTCTGATATCTGTCATCTATTTGGAATCTTTGTTTGAGCCCATGAGTGATTTTTTTTTTCAAAAATAAAGATTTAACTGTATCCCAGATTGAACTCAACATCTTCTCCCTGCCCCCACCTCCGGCTTCAGCTTCCCATCCCTGTGACCCCCTAAGCCAGGAATCTGAGCATCATCTTCCACCTTTGTCACCTGCAGCCAGCCAGTCAGTCACCAGGGCCAAAGATGTCTTTGACACCCTAAGTGTCTTTCAAGCCATGTCCCTTGGCTGATCCTGTAGTTCATGGCTCATTGTCTCACCCATTAGTTTCCTAGCAGGGCATACAGTCACTGGCTGCGCCTGGCCATGCCAGTCATTTCATACCACTGTGCTTACGCATGCGCCATTCTCCCCACCATGCATGCCCTTTCCCGCCCTTTCCTCTCGACATGCCAAGGCTCTCAGTTTCCGCCTCTCACCCAGGGATCACCCCATCTGCTCTCCCAAACGTAAGCCCTGATGACTGTCCCCACAGTCTTCCACCAAAAGCCTGCGGACCACCATCGGCGAGGCCTTCGAGCGGCTGCACCGGCTGCTGCGGGAGCGGCAGAAGGCCATGCTGGAGGAGCTGGAGGCCGACACGGCGCGCACACTGACCGACATCGAGCAGAAAGTCCAGCGCTACAGCCAGCAGCTGCGCAAGGTGCAGGAGGGGGCCCAGATCCTGCAGGAGCGGCTGGCTGAAACTGACCGACACACCTTCCTGGCCGGCGTGGCCTCACTGTCAGAGAGGTAAGTGCCCTCTATCAGGGACCTTGCCGGATGGGGATCCCCTCCCCGGCCCATGCAGGGTGGTGGGAATGGAGGCGGGGTGGTTAGCGGAGAACTCACTCATTCAAATCTTTATCAAATCTATTGGACATCTGTCATGTGCCAAAGCCTGTGCCGAAGGCTTTATATATTTATATATACATAATATAGTATATTACTTGTGTTATAATACGTATGTTGTAGTACATATTTATATATTATGTATAACATGGATATTATATAATAGCCCCCCTCGAAGGTGGTTTCCACCATCATCCCCAATTCACACATGTAGAAACGGAAGCACCAAGAAGCTAGGCCAGCTGGCTATGGCTCCTCGTGTAGTATGTTGGGAGAGCCAGGATTCAACCCCAGGTCTTTCTGGTCCCATAGCCACCTTTGATAGTGGTAACACTTAATTATTGGTTCGTTGGTCATCCATACTTATAACTAATATCACTATTTGGTGTTGACCATGAGATGGGGCCTCTGTGTTAAATATTTTATATGTGTCATGCCATGAAATCCTTACAACCTAGAAAGCAGGTGCTGTCATAGTACGCACTTTAAAGATAAGGAAACTGAGGCCGATAGCTCAGAGGTAGAAAGGTATGAGCAGGCACTTCTCATGAGTCATGGTATGAGTCTGGCGGACTTCACACACGTGACCTCACCCCGTGGCAGCCGCCATGAAGGTAGCTGGCTGTAGGGCGCCAGGGTTGGGGCAGGCGTCCGGCCCCCAGTGCAGCCTGTTCTCCTGCTCTCCTTCCAGGCTCAAAGGCAAAATCCACGAGACCAATCTGACATATGAAGACTTTCCAACCTCCAAGTACACTGGCCCCCTGCAGTACACCATCTGGAAGTCCCTGTTTCAGGACATCCACCCAGGTAAGGCCCTCCCTGCCTCTCAGCAAGCGTGCCCAGGAAGAAACAAGGATTTTCATGGGCTGAAGCTAGATGGGGCATATCCCAGCCCAGCCCCCTTCTCTAAACACAGCAAGGGGGCAGGGCAAAGGGATGAAAAGAGTGCCTCGCTGAACACCTAGTGTGTTCTAGATTGAGCGCATACACAATCACTTAGTTCAGCAAATCCTCATGTAACCCCAGGAGGTAAGTTCTGTTAGTATACTCATTCTCCAGATGAAGAGACTGAGGCCCTGGACTCATTCATTCTGTAAGTACAGTATAAAGCATCTACCTCACACCAGGCACCACTGTAGGTGCTAGAGATGTAGCAGTGTGCAAAACAGGCAACAATCTCTGCCATTGCACATCTCGCACCCCAGGTGTGAGAGACAAAGAAAAAAGAGTACATAAGTAAAATGCATAGTTTATTAGGTAATGAGAAAGGATAAGGAAGGGGACTCAGAGATGTTGAGGTAGGATCGAGATTTTACATAGGGGATCCAGTTAGAAGACCACACTGAGAAGCAGGCATGAGAATAAAGACCTGAAGGAAGGAGAGTGAGCCATGTAGTCATCCAAGGGAAGAGTGTTCCTGGCAACAGGAATAGCATGTGCAAAGGCCCTGAGGCAGGGCAAGCCTGGCATGAGTAAAGAGACTAGTGTGGCTGGAGTGGAATGAGTGAGAAGGGAAGTTGATACGAGGAGGTGAGGGATGGATTAAGTGGCCAGACCATGAGGGCCTGTAGGCTGGTGTGAGAACTTTAAATTTTATGCTGATGAGATGGGAACCATTGAAGGGTTTGGGGCAGTGAAGTGACCTGAGCTGGCTGGAGTTTTTAAAAGGATTTCTCTGGCTGGGGGGTTGAGAATAGACTGAAGAGGGCAAAGGGTGGAGGCTGGAAACATGGTTAGGAGAGGCCAACGACTATAATCCAGATGGGAGATGCTGGCAGCTTGGAGCAGGGCGGCGACAGTGGAGGCGTTGAGGAATGATCGGATTTAGGACGTACTTTGAAGGGAGAGCCAACAGGATTTGCTAATGGATTGGATCTCACGTGTGAGAGAAAGAAGACAAAGAAGACTGCAACAATTTTGGCAGAGGTGAATGAATGATGGCATTGAGGTTGGCGGTGCCAATTAGATGTCTCAGTGCTGATGTGGAGGAGGCAGTTGGCATGCAGTACAGGAGAAAGGTCAGGGCTGGGCTCCTCAGCGCATGGACCATGTCGAATGAGCCTGGAGGAGGTCACCTAGGGAGTGAGTCAGGTGGCTGGAAGAGAGAGGGGGCCACTCTAATATTTGGAGCCCTGGGGAACTCAGGGACAGGAGGGAGGCCCAGCCAAGGAGACTGAGAAGGAGCCACCGGAGAAGCAGGAGGGAATCCTGGGTTGTTGTGGGGGCCAAGTGGAGAAGGTGCTTCCAGGAGATGAGTGCCTGGTGGTGGCAAAGGCTGCTAGGCCACGTGTGGGAGAACCCAAAACTGACTGTTCTCCAGGTCTAGTGATAGGGAGGTCTCTGCAGACTTTAACAAGAGCTCTTTTTGGTGGAGCTGCAGCAGCAAAGAGCCTGATTGGAGGTCATCCAAGAGAGAATTGGAGGAGAGGAAGTGGAGACAGCATGTGGAGACAACGTTTCAAGGGCTTTTCTTTAAGGGAAGGAGGGGGAGTATGGTAGTGGCTGTTTGTTTAAGACAGGAGAAATAACAGCGTATATGTGGGATGATGGGAAAGACCCAGGAGAAGAAGGCAGAACGAAGGCGAGGGAGGGAGAGAGCTGCTGGAGTGACAGCCGAGGAGCGGGATCTGCTGGGAGCCCAGAGAAGGCAGAATAATGGGCACTAAGCAGGGAGGCAGTGGGGCTCGCAGGAGTTCTCTGCTGGCGGCCTCAGCTTCACCAATGAGGCAGGGAGCCTGGCCCTCATCAGATTTGAGGATGGGCAAGAGGAGGTAACGGGAGGTTTGCCGGGACAGGAGAAGGTCTGAACGGTTTTCCAGCAGAGTTAGTAGACCCTGGGGGTCATGCCTTCCTGAAATCACACAACCCACAGGGGCAGCAGATTGCAGCCTGTTGGCAGCAGGGAACCTTGTGTGTTTCTGAATCTGGCACAATGACTTTTAGAGGCAAGACACAGATATAGAGGGCAACTCTCCCTAAGAGGCAGGCACTATTATAATCCCCATTTTTTTAGGTGAGGAAACTGAGGCACAAAGCTATTAGGAACTTGTCCATGGTCACAACCTTGTCCAGCAAGACGAGGACTAGGTATGAAAGGGACTTACACAGTGCTGTGGGAGCCCAGAGCGGGCGATGGGAGGCTCTGGATGGAGCAAGGGCGGAGCCAGGGGAGGTTGAACGTCACTGAACAGATAATGTTTGAACTGAGCACTAAAAACTGAGGGCTTTGCAACCCAGTGAAGGATGGGGCCTAGAAGTATCTCCAGGCGGTCCCTCCATACGGTCCCTGGTGGGGAGGGCATGGGCACGAATGATCCAGGATGTTCACGATTGGGCCTCCTGGGCCAGGATGGAGAGGGTCTGAGGCCAATCACTGAGCGTATAGATGCCAGAGATGGGGCCCCGCTGTAGGCGACTGAAGGCCTCATTTGGTACACCATTACTGAGTCCACAGAAGTGAAGGGGCACCTCCTAGTGCTCTGTGCCCTTGTTCACAGAGGGGGCAGTAGTTGGGGGAAGGGCCCGTTTTCCAGCAGATGGGGTGGGACGGGGTTATCCTCCTGGGCCAGGGTCTCTGTGTGCTCCTACCCTTGGAGGGACCCCACAGTGGGACCCAGCAGGGTAAGGGCCACTCGTGGCTGAAGCAGCACAATGCAAGGAGGCATGAAGCACATCTAAGGGTCTTGTGCCCTCCCCAGCCACTGACCTAGAGAAGCCCCTCAGGTAGATGATTTCAGAGCTCTCTTTGTCTCAGCTGCCACCTATTGCATCCCTGTCACAGCTCACAGAGGCAATCGGGGCATCTCAGCCTGACAAGGCCCTGTGAAGCATATTCTCCTTCCTCCATACTTTTACACACACTGTTCCCTTTGCCTGGAACCCTCTATACAAACCTCAGTCATTGATGGTTAACTCCTACCTCCTTTACATCTTAGTTTATAAACACCCCCTCTGGGAGGCCTTCCTGGATTTCTCCAGGTGGCCCTAGGCTTTCCTGGTCTCACTGCTTTGCCACTGTCTGTGTGGCCGTCTCCTTCACTAGACTGTGAGCTCCAAGGGGTCAGGAGCTGGGTCTAATTCATCACGACATATCTCCCACAGCCCACACAGTAAATGTCTATTGATGAATGAATAAAAAAATGAGTCCTGGTCTCAGTTCTGCAGTTAAAATAGTAACTGGCATAAAGTAGGTACTTCATAAATATTTGTTGACTGAAGGAACTTGCCACATACTCTTAAACAAGTTGCTTCCTCCGTTGAGCCTCTTTCCTCCCGGTAAAACAGGGATGCTAGTGTTCCCTTTCTCGGCTTCCTCACAAGAGAGCACGTGGATGGGGGAGCTCCCTCCCTGCCCCGGAGCAGGGTTTCTCAGCCTCAGCACTACTGACATTTGGGGCTGGGTAATTCCTTGTTGTAGGGGGCTGTTCAATGCATGATAGGACGTTTAGCAACATCCCCGGTCTCTACACAACTCGATGCCTCCCCCGCCCCCTCCCCGTTTGCGGCAACCAAATACGTCTCCAGACTCCAAGGTGCCCTGTGAGGCACATTGCCCCAGTTGAGAGCCGCTGCCCCGGAGAAAGCTCCCCGGGGAGAGGGGCTGAGGGAGCAGAGTAATGTGTGCCCTGGACATCCTGCCAGAATGGAGGCCCTGGGGAGTTCAGAGAACAGTGATCTGGTTAGCCAGGCCCCTTCCTTTGTGGGGCCTGTGAAGTCATTCTGGCTCCTCTGCCAGCACCAAGGCCCTTTCTGTCCAGATGGGAAGGGCAGGTGCCCCCGGGGACCTAGTCCATGGATTCCAGTAGCTTCCTGTATGCCCCCTTTGCAGCTCAGGCTTCCTGTTGGCCCATCTGAGAGCTTTATCTAGCACCTGTCACTCCCTCCCAAACCCTCACCCCCTGCTCTGGAACCTCTGCTACCACCTGCCCCCCGTCCCACCCATCAGCGGACATTGTACACCCTCCTCCAACTGCCTGGCCTGATTGTCCCAGCTCTCAGGCATCAAATTCATTCCCAGCCAGGCCATGTGGCCATTGTCCCGAGGACACCAGACACTACTCCCTTTTTCCCTACCACCTCCCTCTCCTGGCCTGTTCTCAACCACCCTTGCTTATCTGAATCCAGTCATTTTCGGTTCCATCATGTTTACTGCCTACCAAGCTGTGCAACTAGGACAAATCGCTGCCCTCCCTGAGCCTGTTTCTTCATCTGTAAAACAGGGATCGGGAAAGAGTGAATCATCTCCCAGGGTAGGTGTAAGAGTTAAATAAAATCATTAATTTGTGATAATAACCTAGGGTTTAGTAAGTACTTGATACCTGCCTGTCATTATCATGAATATCAAGTGGTTCCTCAATCTTGATGCACAGGCTTTCTGGGGCCACAAAAAGGAAAGCACATGTGACAAAAGACCTTAACTCATGTTCCAGTGCTACTTCCACCCCTAGTGACAACTTGAGCAAGCCACTGAACTTAGAGAATTCTCCTTGAAGCCTCAGTTTCCTCTTCTGAAAAATGGGTATGATAATTTGTGCTCCTGGGGCTTCTGGGATATTTCCACCAGCTAGTGGGTATGAAAATGTTTTTCAAATGCGAGCACTATGCAACTGAGGGCCTGAACAAGTGCGGGGCCTGAGGGACCAGATTTTTAAAGGACTGGCCAAAGGAAAGAGCCGATGATGTCTCTCATCCTGTCAGGCCTATGCATGCTCAATTCACTGTCCTTGAGAACAAAGAAGTACAAGCCACTCACTGCCAAGCGATGGTGCTGGACTGCGGGGTTTCTCTGTTGCTTGGACTGCTCTAGTGTGCGGTTAATGATGGCCCAGAGTCATTCCCTGGGGCCTCCACAGTCCATGCTCCTTCCCGAATGCCTTTGACCTCAAGGTTTCCGAGAGGCTGACATGGACCAAGAACCCACCTGGAGACCAGATGGGCTGCCTGCTTTTTGTTTGTATCATACAGTGTCTTGGGACCTAGGAAAGAGCTCTGACCTGTAAAATAGTAAGCCCCAGGGGACTGGATTTATTTCCCCGGGTCTGGCACCTCTCCTGAGGATAAAGGATGGGTGGAGGGGTCGCCTGACTTCTAGAAGGGAGAAAAGGTGTCACATGTCCTCTTTTGGGTGTCTCTCGGTCTAAAGGCTGTGAACTCCTGTCAGCCCTAGCCTCAGGGAGCGTGAGAGAGAGGCCCAGAAGACAGGACCCTCTGTTCATGATGAGGTGGGAGGCCCTAGGGGCGGCCCTCAGCCCACCCTTTGGGGTAGAAAAGCCTCCTAAGGGTCAGGCCTTGCCTTCTGCCTAGTAAGAACACCAGACCACGCTCTAGCCTCGCCCCTGAGAGATTGGGTCCTGCCCCTTGTTACCAGGACCCCCTCCCCCATTCCTAGTCCCACCTCCACTGCCAGCAATACCCAATGAACAGCGGACCCAGCCCCTAGGCCCACCCGGTGAGTGGTGGGCCCTGCCCTCATCCAATCCCCCGGGCTTCTGTGCCCAGAACCTGGCACTCGGTGCAGGATTTCCTCCTTCTCCTGGGCTCGCCTCTGTCGGCCCAATCTCAGAACCACTGACAGCCCGCTTGGCTCCCTCCTAGAGCGGCCTCCCCACTCGCAGTAGCACCGGAAGTGGCCTGCGTCATTCTACATAGATTTAGGAGTCTGGGGCTGAGCCTTCCTGCCTGTGTGCTAGTCTCCCTCATGGTCCTTCTGCCCTGAGTTGCAATTTCGCTGGCCTCCTCAAATCATCCTGGGTGCCTCAGATACAAGCCCAGGTTCCTGCGGGCCACTCAGAACTGCTGCTGCCCACAGCTGGGCATTGTGCCTGCTCTGACCCTATGCCATAGACACCTGAGTATGGCCCACGTTCCACAGCCAGGACAAACAGCCCCATCTGTGTCTGATTAGATTCTTCTTTCCCTATCCCCGCCCACCCCAACACACACTCTTTCTACACCCCTCTCCACTTCTTACCTCCTGACTGCACTGTGGGAATTCCCACATGCCATGTGGCAGGAACCTTCTAGTTCTGACAGGCTGCTCTGTGACCAGATGACAGGGTAACACATTCATACTCTGATTCAGTGTCTTCCTTCTCATGGCTTTCCCCTCTTCAATATCCCTGGAGAGAGAATTGTGTTTCCATTGACCCCTCTGTTCACAGGGCTAATGGTTTCCATGCAGCCCTCTGAATTCTAAGAACAGGGGAAAAAAGTGTAAAATGCAAAGCTAAATCTACTCTTGACAGCCTGATTGGAATGGCTCAATTGTTTAGGCATCATTCCTCAAAGCGAAAGGTCGCTGGTTCGGTTCCCAGTCAGGGAGCATGCCTGGGTTCCAGGTTTGGTCCCTGGGCAGGGAGCATGAGAGAGGCAGACCATCGATGTTTCTCTCCTCATCTTTCTACCTCCCTTCCCGTTGCTCTAAAAATAAATAAAATCTTTAAGAAAAATTTACCCCTGACAGAGCTCATGGAAGGAGCTTAATATGTGGAGCTTGTGAGTGGATGCACGTACGGAAGCACAGTTCAGGGCTGCCTGTTGCTCCCTGTTGGTGACAGCTGCCGTCACGGAGGCATCCCATTTCTGTGTGTGTCCACAGCCAACGGGAGTGGTCGAAGGAGGGGTAATGCCCAGCCAAGTGGAACCATGTCCTGCTTCACTGCTACGGGAAGTGCCAGAAAGCCGGATGGAGTCCTTTCTTTGCTCCAAGGAAGTGATGACAGGCCTCCTTCTTCCCACGTTTCCTCCCCTCTGTCTTGCTCTGTCCTGGAAATGGTCATCTGCACTAAGGCGGATCATTTCCAGGTTCCCCCTTCTCCCGATTGGGCATCAGCTCCCTCGGGGAGGAAAGAGTAAACAGACAAGCGTTCATGGGACTTTGAGAGCCAAATCTGCTAAGCCAGTGTGGCCAGCCCAGAGCCAGGTGGCCCAGCCAGTGCTGCCTGCCCAAAGAGCAACACAGATTGGGTCAGTTGGATTGGGTGAGCCTTTCCAGAAATCTGCCCATGCACTGGGCACACAGGGGAGAGGCGAGTTGGATAGTACACAGTCCTTGTCCCCCTGGGAAGATGTGGGCACAGAAGACTACCCTATATCGGGAGAGGCACAAACAAAATTAAAGAATCTCAGAGGAAAGAGTGAGCACACCTGCTGGGTAACCGGGAAGCCTTCCCAGAGGATCAGCCTTGGAACTGAGCCTTGTGGGGAGTGATGACAATAAGCAGAGGGGAGGTGGTGGAGGAGGTGAGTGAAGGCCTTGGGCCTGAGCAGGATGGAGAGCAGCAGCCGAGAGGGAGACTGGAAGAGAGGGCTGGGCTGGACTGCCCCTGGCCTCGGTTAGTCCTGTCTCTGCCAGGGTTTGCTGAGTTACCTGAGACTGGTCCTGTCTCCTCTCTGGGTTTCAGTCTCCCCATCTGTCAAATGGGAGAATTGGCCTAGAATCACTGGTTTTCAGCTTTTGCAGACCCATTATATCCTTTCATAGCAAATAACTTGTAATGTCTCAAAGATAGAATGGCCTTCTAACAATTTCAAGTATGTATATAATATATACATGTATACATGCATATATACTCGTATGTACTCTGACTATAACATAAAGGAAAAGCAGAAAGAAATTGTTTATAATAAAATATTGGGTATGTCACTTTGTAGATGTTCACTCACATCCACACTAGAAAACATAATGAAGTAGTCAGGTAAAACCCCATTCTTCCTCAAATGCAGCCTGAAACAGGTAGTTTATATCAGTCCGTTGCTTTGTTCTTAGAGATATAGTTTCCAAAAATGTGAACAATTTCTCAATGAAGTTCCAAACAAAACAAATTTAGTCTTTCCTCAGTTGCATTCCAAAATACTCAGTATATATTAAAACCGGATAAAAATTATTGTCTGGTAGAACATTTGACAATTATTGGTGGGGTGGCCTAGGACTGCCCTGTGTGTTTCATTGAGGGCATTTAACATCCCTGTATCCCATCTTTGAGGCAATCCAAACACTCCCCACACATTTGCAAGTCAGCCCCTGAGGGACTGATTATCCATCCCTGGAATAATCTTTAAGCTCCCTCCCAGCTCTGAAATCCTCTAATTCTGGACCGCATTCTGGTTTATTCAGCAAACTTTTGTGAAGGCCCACTCCATGCCTTGCCCCAGGCATCAGCAGTGAACAAGCAGCCCTAGCCCCTGCTCCCTGAGCCAGGTTGAAGTCTGGAAGGACCTTAGCCTTCACCCCGCCATTTTACAGAAAAGGAAGCTGAGGCTCAGAGAGGGTTGTATTCAGCATCACACACCCTCCTGAGGACCAACTAGAACCCGACCCTCAGGGAGGTACCACAGAATGGGCCCACAGTCTTCTCTCCACTCATGCCTCCCTCCTCCATCCCCTGCAGTGCCAGCTGCCCTGACCCTGGACCCGGGCACCGCCCACCAGCGCCTGATTCTGTCAGACGACTGCACCATCGTGGCCTACGGCAACCTGCACCCCCAGCCACTGCAGGACTCGCCAAAGCGCTTCGACGTGGAGGTGTCAGTGCTGGGCTCCGAGGCCTTCAGTGGCGGCGTCCACTATTGGGAGGTGGTGGTGGCGGAGAAGACCCAGTGGGTGATCGGGCTGGCACACGAGGCCGCAAGCCGCAAAGGCAGCATCCAGATCCAGCCCAGCCGTGGTTTCTACTGCATTGTCATGCATGACGGCAACCAGTACAGCGCCTGCACGGAGCCCTGGACGCGGCTCAACGTTCGAGATAAGCTTGACAAGGTAGGCGTCTTCCTGGACTATGACCAAGGCCTGCTCATCTTCTACAATGCCGACGACATGTCCTGGCTCTACACCTTCCGTGAGAAGTTCCCTGGCAAGCTCTGCTCCTACTTCAGCCCCGGGCAGAGCCACGCCAATGGCAAGAATGTGCAGCCCTTGAGGATCAACACCGTCCGCATCTAATGCAACAGAAGGAAACCGCAAGCACCAGGGCCAGGGCCACCGGCAAGAGCCCTGCCCTGGAGACAGGAGGCCTGGCTCTGGCCCAGCATGGCCAGTTGTTTACCCTTCAGCCTCCCTTGTCTGTAAAATGGAGTTTGTGCTCCATGAGTCTTAAGCCCTCATCCAGCATTGATGTTCTGTAGCTCTGACCTTGATGGGGATGTACCTTTGGTCCAAGAATGTGACATGGCTTCTCCTCAGGGCAGCCCCTGCCCAACCCTCATCCCCATCCTTTCAGGGGCAGGGGACTGTCTCCCTGTATCTCCCTCCTACCCATATGCCCTAACCTCAGGATATGTCAGAGTGTTGTTGCCAGCAGTTGACAGCTCAAAAGATACTCAGAACCCTCTTTGTCTCCCAGGCCTAAGGCTGCCCCTGACCAAGCTAGTGATGGGCCGGTTTATGCTTGACCCCGGCCCACAGCGAACACAGGCAGTATCTGGACCTAGTGTGGCCTGAGAACCACCCTCTTCTTCCACCTCCGGACCAAGAGCTTTATGGTTCCTGCTTTCCCCACTTCCCTGCAGGTAGAGGTGGTGCTGTGACCTGCGGAAGTCACCCAGTAGTTGAGCCCACATGGTACGGTCACTGTGCCACCACCTTCCTGCCCACAGGTCTAATGGCATGACAATAGCACACCTCACAGCTAATGTAGAGCCCAGTGGCCTAACGTCAGCTACAGGACAAGCATCATCGGATGATGAGGCTTGGATAGGGGTCCGGCCAGACCTCTGTGACTAGCTAGGGTGCGCGGGAGGCTGCGGGGAGCAGCTGTTCTCGTCAGGACCTGAGAACTGGAAAGGGCTGCGGGGCGGCAACTCTCATCTGGCTTGGCATCTTTCTCCGTTACGATCCTGTTGTAGAACACAAGAGCTGCTTTAGCTAGTTTAACTAGACAGGATTTATTACTGGGTCCCTGATGGCTTTGCCAAATCATTGGAAGGGCTGGAGGAGCAGACTCTTTGCTGAATTTCCAGGAGCAGCTCCCAGCTGCCAGATTCATCATGTCCCTCCTGACCGGGAACACTGCTTCTGTGCGCGGGAAGCCCCTGCTTCAGGAAGTCGCTGACTGCAGAATTGTGCTCCCTCTGCTACTCTTCATGCCAGCAAATGGATGTCCTGAGGCCTGCTTCTCTCTCACTCAATTCAATTCCCCAATCCAGTCTCTAGGAGGGATTCTGTTTGTGGAATTGTAAATCAGACCCAGAACTTGGGCTGCAAGGGAGTCTGGGAAATGTAGTTTTCTTTTTTCCAGCCTCAGCCGTACCAAAAAACCCTCTAGAAGGAAATTAAAATGGATGTCGAAGAAGCCCATCCATGGTTTTTGCCACTGGAGTCTACCTCCAGGCCTTGGCTTTGAAACAGCAGAGCATCCAGGTTCCCTGTTCCGTAGCTCTGTCCCTGCGCAGGGGCAGGGGCCCAAAGCTGAAATCTCTCTCCAGCCTTGGCTTTTCTTTCAAATCCTGGGGCCTAGATTCTGAACTTGGAGCCTCTGACCAAATCCATCGCAAAGGAGCCAGACTAACTGAACTTGGGGGTCTCTCACCTCACAATGCTGCCCACTGGGGGCCCCCCTCGGGCAGGAGAAATCCTCAGTCTCACCCCATCCCTTCATCTACCGGAATCTAGGCTACCCCCAGCAGTATTTTTATTTTAAATGTTGCCCATTTTGTGAGTTATGATGAATTTGTATTAAATTAAAGTTGCAGGATATCAGTGGTCAGTTTCATTCATTTTGACAAACAAAAAGGCCTACCTGTTGTGTCTCAGGCAGTCTCCATACGTTAGCATGGGTGATCCACAAAGCTCCCTGTTGGGTAGATAGTATTAGGCCCATTTTACCAAAGTGGAAAAATAAGGTTAAGAAAGAAGACATGACTTACCTACACAAAAAGGAGAGGCAAAGGCAGCCCGACCTTGGGGAGGAAAGAGGGATCAGCAAAGATCTTACCCAGGACAATGACTAGGACTACAGTAACCCCCTTCAAATCCCCATTTGTGGTCAGCAGGCAAAGCGCTGGTACTTTTTGCCCAGGCTGGTGTGGCTCAGTAGTTTGAGCACCAGCCTGTGAACAAAAGGTCGCCAGTTCAATCCTAGTCAGAGCACACGTCTGAGTTGCAGGGCAGGTCCCCGGTGGTTGGGAGTGTGCTGATCAATGTTTCTCTCCATCTCTTTCTCCCTCCCTTACCTTCTCTCTAAAAATAAATTTTAAAAAAGTTTTCAAGCGCTGGTACTTTTTAAGGCAAGCCCATGAAGCTGGTATCATCTCAGAGTCTGGGTGGAGAAATGTTACGTCTCAGGGGACCTACAGCCCACAGCGAGTATCCTGGAGAGCTAGAAGTCAGACTCTTCACTGGACCTCCCAGGGAAAGCTTCTCAATCTCAAGGACTGCTTCAGTGACAGGAAGCAGCCCCCAGAACTGGGGTCCCCGGCATTCAAAATGGAAGCTTAACCCAGGCTCCACGCCATTGTGAGACTGTGCAATTGTGAGTCAAGCCTCAACTGCAAGCCAAGCCTCGTGTGTCTCCTGGAGTCAGGGGTGGACTCATGAAGACACCATGTGAAGCTGAGCAGGTCCCTCTCTCCCTGGGCCTCAGGTTTCCCATCTCTACCAGGGAGGGGTCAGACATCTCGTCAAATGATAGCCAAGGTCCTGGCTCTGATGGTTCAGGATTCTAAGTCTAATGTTAGTCTCAGAGCTTGGCCTGCTCAGCACCTAACAAGGCCATTAACTCTGGATCCTTCTCTCTGGGGTGGAGCAGGAACAGAAAACAACAGAGATAAGGTCTCTTGGCAGCACAGAGCTTGGCTCGGGGGCTCTGGGGACCAGCCTTGCCTCCTGCCAGAGAGAGCTCATCCCCGGGAGGCTGACTGCTCACACCTGAGCAGCATCCCCAGCTTCCCTTCCTCCTGTCTGGGTCCGGGCTCTGTTCACCGTCCCCAAAAGCTCCACCAGGAGGTCGGTTGCAAAGGACCATGTCACAGGCTTAAATGCAGGGGGTGGTGTGGGGTGGGGTGGGGCGTGAAGGGGGGCGGTGCTGACCAAGGTGCTGAATTGTCATTGCCCCGCCAGGGCATGGTTATTTCTCCTTCCCCGTGATTCTCCCAGTTCTGTGGGAATCCTGAAGCACATAATGGAAGAGGGAGTGATGGGAAGCAGAGCAGGAACAGTAGGGGGCAGGGGTGTGGAGGATGTGGTCAGGGGGTACAACCCCCAAAATAGTACAACCTCCAAAATAATAGCAGGAGAAGAGGAAATGCTTTTATTTTGAAGATGTGCTCATTTTCCTTTGTTTTTCCTTTTACCTGGATGAGCTTCTGTGGGGTTTTTACCCTGGACACATAGTCTCCTATCAGCATAGGAGACTATGCTGTATAGTATATACAGCATAGCCTCGTATCTTCTTTCAAAATTTTGACAGTTCTCTTGTATTTCTTACTATTACAAAATGCTCCCCACTCACCCTAGGAATTAGATGAAGTAGAGGAAGAAGTGACACTTTGGACCAGAGGCCCAGGGGCTTCCTACTCCAATGTCATGACAGGGGAGAACCTTTCAAAGCTGGAACCAGAAGCACAAAGAACAGATCCTTTTGAGGTCCCCACACCGTGGGCCTGGATGTGACCAAGTCTGAATGCTGGTGGAGCCTGGTGGACCTTCCAGCCCAATTCTGAGGCCCCCGGAGGGTTGGTTTCTAGCTCAAGTTCATATAGCACATGGCAGAGCAGAGGCCAAAACCCAGGTTTCCTGGTTCCCAGCTGGCACGCAGGAGAGGGAGAATGGCCAGGGGAGAGGACCCCTGCCCAGGCAAGGAAAAGGAGCACAGGGGGGTGGCTGCAAGTGGGCAGGGGCAGGGCTGAAGAGGGGGTGCTCAGAGGAGAAGGAACCCCATGTCTAAGAAAGTCAGCAAGGGCTGCAGTTCAAAGGTCACAGAGCTGGGAAGTTCTCTCTAAGGTGGAGACAGACCAGCTGAGCATGCGGGTCAGCATCACAGCCTCCGGGATGGCTGCTGAGAGACCACGGATCACACCTGTGTCATTTTACAGATGAGAAAACTGAGACCCAAATGAGAACACACCAGCCTCTGGGGCATAGCCAGGCCCAACCCAGGTCTCCCAACTCCCAGCCATTGGCTCTTTTCACGCAACCTTTAATCTCCCCCCTGTGGATTCTGGTGCCTCCTCCCACCCCCTGGGAACCAGGAGTGTGAGCAGAAGGAGAAGGGGAGTGGCCAGGTCCCCCATAACCCCAGGCACCAAGAGCTGGGTGCCTTCATCCTCATCCCGAAGGAGAAGGGAGAATTGGCCTGGACCCCAACGGTCGCCCCTCCAGCGCAGGGCCCGTGGGCGCCTGCGCACACCTGGAACCTCTCTCGCTGGCAGCAGAGTCCAGAGCCAGTGCGAGCCACAGCAGGAACAAAGCCACCAGGGCAGCTGCTGGAGCCGCAGGGTGTCACAGGTAAATGAGGGCATAGGGAACGATGGCCCCAGGGGGTCCCCAGATTCTATGGCACCTGATTCCAGCCTTGGGACATGGAGTGGTTTGGGGGTTTTGAAATCTTTTTTCTTCCAGAGAAGGGGCTTTTGCCCTCTCACTCCCTGGGCTAGATCCCTCACCCCTGGCCCCTTGCAAACCTGAGGCTGAAGCCCCTCCCAACCAAACTGTTAGATTACAAAAAGGAACAGGAATGAGGGACCAATGGCTCTGTTTCTGCCCCCAGGAGGAGATGCAGATCCGAGCCCCCAGAGGTCCCAGAAAAAGCAGAGACTGTCTCACAGGTGTGGGGCTGTGCGTCTCGGCCTGGGTGAACCTTGCAAAACCGGGGTGGGTCCCAGCTCCACCCCCGACTCTCCAAGGACCCTGGATGTCTCCCTTATGGGTGTCCACTCCTCACTGGTTCAGCAAGGATGGGTGATCCTGGGCTATGGGGCAACCACCGGCTCTAAGGTTCTAGCTTCAGGCAGCCTCATGGAGTTTGTGAACAGTACCCACCCCCTACGCCCTCCCTCCTCCTCTGTCACACTTCTGAAATGTCCTCCTCTATCCCTTCCGTTCCTCCATGAAAACTTACCCTCCAGTGTTCCTCAGGGTAACTGGCTCATGGTTTGAGGTACCGCCCACTCCATGACCCGTGAGCACTTATAATAGGAACCACTCCAAAAGAGCGGCTAGTGGTGGGATCTCTAGCAGCACACCAAGCAGGTGCAGGAAAGATTATAGGGGATAGAAAGGGGAAGGGGACTTCTTACGACTCTATGCAGGCAGCACTACAGCAGCTGTTGCGGTGTGGGCACAGACCCAGCTAGAACGGCAGGGGCTCCACAGGCGGAGCCTACCCAAGCCTTACTCTTGGCTCAGCCTTCAGCCCTCACTCCCCCTCACCAGCACCCCCAACGCAGGCCAGTGGCAACACAACATGCCCTTTCTGTTCCCAGGGGCTTCCTGTGGAGGCAGAAAAGACTGCACACATGTTAGAATCAGAGTGTCCAAGAATATTAGGATCCTGCCCTGGCTGGTGTGCGTCAGTGGGTTGGAGCGTCATCCCATAGACCGAAAGGTCTCAGGTTAGATTCCTGGTCAGGGCACATGCCTAGGTTGAGGGTTCGATACCCAGTCAGGGGATGTACTAGAGGCAACAGACTGTTAATTTTCTCTCCCACTGATGTTTCTCTCCCTCTCTCTCTCCCTCTCCTCCCTCTCTTTAAAATCAATAAGCACGTCCTTGGGTGAGGATTAAAAGAAGGATGAACAGCAGGATCCCAAACAGAGAGTTTTAAGCATATTTTGGTCCTTAACACCCCTGCTTTTGTAATATTCACCACACTTCCCCCACAGAATGCCCTCGCCCTCCTTTTTCTTCTGTTGAAACCATACTCTTCCTTCACATCCCACCCAGGGTGAAGCTGTCCCAGTCATTCCAATCCAGCAGAACTCAGTGCTCTGGGCCCCTGCAGCACATTGGGACTCCCACGACCACCGGAACGTGAGCGTGTTGAGGCAGGGATCGTGCTTTGGCTCTGCCCACTGGGTGCACAAAGAAAATGTTTACTGGCCGGTGTCAAAGCCGGAATCACAAAACCACTTCATCTCCAAGTGAGGAGGATTCTTAGAGACCAGAGAGAGCTCCTCCCTGGAGATGCTGGGATGATGCTGAGTGCCCAGGGCAGGCCCACTGGCCACCCCCGGCCAGGTTGTGCACAGGGAGCACCGGGGAGTCGGCAAAGGCTAGGAAAGTTATTTGACTGTTTGCCTTTTTGTACATTATAAAATAACTTCTGCTCATTGTTTTAAAAATTCAAATAAGTATAAGACTCTTATCAAGCTAAGAGTACCCTTGTTCCGCTCCCAGGAGTGAGCCGCTGTCGCCTGCCTGGTGCCGGTCCTTCTGGGCCTGTTGGCTTATGCCCAGACATAAACGGAATTCTCTTTTACGAAAATATGATCACTTGTCATCTTCCTACGTGCTCTGTGGAATAAATTTCTACAAAAGGGCTTGTTAGTCAAAAGGTTTGTTCACTGAAAATGTGTTGCTTTTCTAAGTTAATTTCTTTGCTTAAAACATGTTCACTGTAGAAAATTTGGAAATACAGTGCAAAGGATACATTGTCCATCACCACTGCCCAGAGATAATGACTGCTAGCGATTTCTTTGGCTTTTGTATCCCATGTGAACATGTTCAGTTACACATATCGGAACACACTCTGCTATTGGCCCCCAGCCTGCTTTTTGTTATCAATGTTTTGCCACTAAATAACACATTGTGAGCCTTTTTTCATGTTGTTAAATGTCTTCTAGGGCATCAATTTGGTAGAAGGGATGTTTGACCTCAGGGACCCCCAAGAAGCTTGCTTGTCCTGACCCCTACTCTGAGTAGAGAGCCCACTGCAACAGCTGGATGGAATCCATTGCTCCCGGGTGTGACCCTGCTTTGCCCCGCCCCTTTCAGAAAGGGAACGCCCCGGGAACGCCTGGAGCACCTGCCGCCTTGACCCCTCCTGAGCTGAGGCCCAACACTCCATTGATGAGCACACAGCAGCCCTGCAACTTCTCCTGTGCCGCCCACCGGAGCAGTAAGTGGATGCCTGGCCCTTTTTTCTGCCACCCCTGCTGCCA